GTTGATCTCATAACGGTCTTGGTGAGTCGGCATTGTCGCGTAGGCGGTAGCTCGAGCGTGCTTGCTAAGTTTGCTTGAGCCAAATTGCAGAGACACCGAAGATATAATCTTTGCGAACCCTATTATGACAATTAGGCTACAAGTAGGAGGGTGGCCTGGAGAGGATCGAGCGACTCGGAGACGGTTGCTGAGCGGGATGATTCCTACTGCCGACTGCCTTATTGCCACCAACCATAGGACCACCCACAGGGCGAGGGCGATGGGGAGGGCCTACTGTGCCAGGAAGACCACGCTGCCGACGAGGAGCTTTCCGATCCTGGCGCGGGGACAGTTCGGCGAGCTTTATTACTTGGGTCAGGGCTTCTTGACTGTAGCCCATGTGGTCTCGAAGCGCCTGCTTGTGGTCCACGAGTTGAAGTCTAAAGTTGGGGTTCCCAGTGAGCCATGCACAGAGCTGATCCCATCGTTCTTTGGTATAGAGTTGTGTGCCATATTGATTGTACGGGCGATCTGCCATCTTCGGAGTGAAGGGATATCCATTGTGGCAGTAGTCGCTCAGGGACTTTGGTCAGCATCAGGCGGGGAGACAGCAGGTGCCATCCTGTGCGGGCCATGGCAACACGCAGCCCGGAGGTCAGCCACTGAGCCACGACAGCACTTTCTGCTTCGATGCTCCCTTGCTCAAAATTGCCGAGCGCCGTTGCTAATCGGGTATAACCTATGCCGAACCGTCCATATCCCTTGGCAAAGGTGTAGTTGGGTTCAGCCATCGTGTCCTCGTCCTCCGTGGCCTCTTCAGTGCCAATTTCTGGTGGTTCAGCAAGCCCCACTGGCACGGGGAGAGCAAGCTTAGGCGACCGTTCAGCTGACCCAGTAGCGTCAGAGGCAGAGTCTTCTTCTGCAGGCAGGTTTGGCAGTTGTCAGGTCTCGCCACAAGGGGACTTCGATGCGCAGCCTCAGCTGCAGAAGGGAGGGAAACGAGAAAGCTTGTCCCAAAGACGGGTCAAGGGCACCACTAAAGTGGGCTCTTTCTGCCCAGAACGTTTCCGGCATTCGGGGGTACCGGTCATAAACAATGCTTTAGTGTGCACTCCCACCACGAGCAAGGGGTTGTCCTCAGCATCCTCTTCTTTTGGCCGGTACCCATAACCCCCTTTCACTTCCGCAGGCGTGAAGCCCTGCCGCTCCATGGCTACAACCAGGTCAGGCAGGATTTGTACTGGCAGGTAGACAAAGAGGTCATTGGTGGGCAGTGTCTGTTCCCCATGCTCCATTCCCCTAACAAAGGACATGAGGACAGTGCGCATAAAGGTAAGGGCCGCTTGAGAGCTTTGGCCTCCAGGAAGCTCGACCTCTGGGAATGTGCATCCCGAGGGCCATCCTGGCGCAGCCGGGGGCCCGTTCACCCCGAGGGGACGTGGAATACGGAACCCATTCATTTGGTTGTGTTCTGGTGTCCTTTCTCCCATCATCATGCAGTGTTTCCTGTCCTTCAATGGTGACCTGGGCAGTGCAATGTTCGGCCACCTTGTGCACTACCTGAACAGGAAAGTGGATGTTGCCCAGGTTACGCGTGGGCTCCAACACGGGGGTAGCGCATTCCTTTTTTGCTTTCTTTGCTAGTTTTGAAGATTGGGTGACCCCCGACTTCTTCTGTTTCCTCGCAACTCTCAGCACAGAAAGACAACAGGCCATAGAGCCAACAGGTCCCTCACTTCCCATTTCAGACTCCGCCGGATCTGCTCAAGAAAGGCGAAGAGAGCTGCCAATCCGCTGCACTTCACAACTTCCCGGGCGCTTAGTGAAGTCGACGCCTCTAAAACTCAGTTCAGCAAGCGTGACTTGCAAAAAGCACGCTGATATGTCGCATCCACACACTGATTCGAGCCAGAGGCCATTCAGACGGCAGAGGTCCGCCAGACCTGTATGCACAACTCGAGAGCCACCTCAGTGGGGGCAGCAAAATCGGGTCAAGTGTTGTTCCACATCAAGCTCCAACAGACACACACCGATAGGATTCCCAGCGCTGATGCCTGTGGGTTTCTGCAGGTTTCTGGGGCCAGAAACAAAGAGCACGTGGTAGGCCGCGCAGTGAACATTCACGGTCTGCCACTGTGCGAAACAAATCCAACAAAATGCATCCGCTCAGACAGTTTTGGACACGGTCTTCGCTGCTCATTGACTTGTGGCCAGAAGGACCCTGGGACATGATGTGTCCAAAAGGAATGAACTAGCCATCAAAAGGAACTATAGTACAAAAGGATTCAAAAGGATTCAACAGGAATCAAAATAATTCAAAAAATATTTGATATAACGATTGTCATCAGTCATCTGAGAAGCTGTTGTCAAAGCAATGCAAAGGTTCAGCAAGGCATATCCACGGAGACTCCAAGGAATGATAGCATTGCTCAGCGCCACATCCTTTGACCGTATGTGTGACAAAGAGCATGGCGCTATAGAATTGACAAACCCTGACCCTCAAAATATATTCTGAACCTATTAGAGGCCATCTGAACCAAAGTATCTAAGAACATCTGATTCTATAGACAACAAAGGAAATTTGCAGACAGAGCTGATCTCAAACGAAGCATTGAGAAAAAACAACCACCCTGCTCAATGTTAATGTCCCAGCTCAAGCTTCCGAAAATACGAAACTGCTGATCTCAGACAGAGCTGATCTCAGACGAAGCATTAAGAAAAAGAGCAGCCACCCTGCTCAATGTTGGTGGTATCAAAGTCAAATCAGGAAGCATGAAGTGAAAACGCCGCCCTCAAAGATGCAGCATTAAATCATCAGTGGTTAAGTGAAAACGCCGCCCTCAAAGATGCAGCATTAAATCATTAGTGGTTAAGTGAAAACGCCGCCCTCAATGATGAATTAACAAAAGCTTGGGTTACAGAACGCTACCAGAACATCGTTTCCGGAACTTGCGCTATTTTTCGCCCGGCGGCAAAATTTTTGCCGACAAAACGACCCCCGTTTTGGGGTCCAAAAACGGACCCCAAAACGGGGGCCAAGTCCATTTTTGGGTCTGTTTTTGGACTCCAAAACGGGGTCGTTTTGTCGGCAAAATTGTCGTCACCGAGCGAAAAAACAGCACAAGTTTCGATTGTTTCTTCATGTACGGGACAGAAGTTTCCCATACCGCTGGGTCTCCATGGTTTGCAGCGCCGCGAGTACTTGTTCTCCACACCCTGCGAACATTCATGTCACATGTTCTTGAATAGTTGGGTGGTTATGGTCCGAAACGACCGGATTGCGCTTTCTCTTCTTTTCTCCTAAACCTTTGGGGTCGATCCCTAACGCTTCCAGCGCTGTGGACGTGGGCTGTCCTGCCTTTACTGGCGCTTTACGGCAAGCTGTCCTCACGGTCAGATCGTCAACGTAGGCGATCCATTCCTTTGTGTACTTCATTTTCCGACCCCTGCCAGGTCCGTATGCTCTGTCTACCACAAAGCGATCGGAGTCGGAAGGATTGAGGTCTTGATGACGGAGTCATGGAAGATCGTGAGACTCAGATTGGATGCAGTTTCCATTCTACTTTGATCTTGTGTCCGTGGTTCAAGCTTGCCTTGCTTGCTGTGCCAGCTGACTGCTTTCATCCGTAGCCAATTGGGCGTGCGCGTGCGCAATCTTTGTGCATGTTTGAATGCTTTAAGCTCGATACTTTCGGTATCTCGCATGGGAATCGTTTGTTAAAGGAATGCCCCATATCCTTTTGAACTTTACATGTTTAGCTCAAGTGCGGGAGAAAAGACTGCGATGCGTTTGCTGTGCTTTTGAATGCTGTTGCCAGTGCTTTGTGTTGTGTGTGGGAGGTCTTGTAACTTACGTACTTAAGGCTATAGGTCTGTCACGATTCCACATTTTTTCGTTTGCATTTTCACGGCCTCCACAGCCACCCCCAATGCATCCAAAGCCAACAGCATCACTTTTGTTGCAATGATTAGAGGTTCCCCTCCATTTTGCACAGCTTCTTACCTCGGTAACTTCTTTTCCTCATGTGTTCTTTTGCGACGTATGGTTTCGATCTTGCAATGCGCAGCGGTAGTTGAAAAAAGTCCCCAAAGCCAACAGCACCGGAGTGCATCGCCGACCACCTCTTGCAGGAGATCCTTCGCAGCTGTAGTTGTCTCCCTGCCTCACCGACAGCTGTGTGAGGTGCAGGTGCCTCAGACTTCCCGGTTGCTGTTGGTTTTAAGAACGTCTGCGTGCGTTCACAAGTGAAAAAAGGCAATTGGTGCACAAGTGAAAATGCACAAATGGCAGCATCACATCCCTTCTTCCGTCGACGTTTGCGCTTGGGTTGGGGGTAGTAACAAGTCTGTCGTTTCATCCTCCCTCCTTTGACTTCAAAAAATGTAGGAAAAAAAACGAAACTTAGAGACCTTCCTGGTTTTTTCTTCATAGCATCCTTTGTCATGTCATGCTCATTCTTCGTATGCCTTTCTCTCGCTTGAAGGCGCAGGGTTTTTGTTCTCCGAAGCGTTTCTTCCGATTCGGATCTGGCATTGCATCACCGGCTCATGTGGGTAAGCTTGGTGCTTGGAACTCGAGATGCTCTATGCTTCTTTCCTTGTCCACCGTGTTCAGTTAGCCTTTTCATTTTGCACACATAGTTGTACGACTTGTTGCGGTCATACTGTCCCATGTTTTCGCGTGCATTGTGATATTTTAATCCATCAGGGTCCAGGGTTGAGTTCTTTATTTTCAGGTAAAGAGAGTCCCTCAAAGTTTCCTCACTTGGAGCATTTGCTGGCTTCACGTTTCTTGGTTCCTCATGCCAAGCGCGAAAGACAATGGATAGGTTTTGGTCTCCTTCAGACTTGGAACCAGTTTTTGGAACCGTGATCGGTGCACTATTGTAGAAGTGCTCACATCCGCTCAAAGAGCAAAATCATAAACATCATTTTTTAGCCTCGTGGCCTTGTGGCTTAAGGCATTGGTTTTTCATCGTTTGACTAAGAAAATAGATTTGCCTTCGCATTTTCGCAGCCCCATGGCGATGCAAGCGTGGCCCGTGAGTGCCGTTGCGGGGCTGGGTGCATTGGACACTGCATATCTCACCTATGCAAAGATCAATCAAGTTCCGCTGGCGTGTCCGTCCAGCGGTTCGTGCACAGAGGTCTTGAATTCCAGCTTTGCCTCGATTGGCCCTGTGCCTTTATCCCTCCTGGGATTGCTGGCATACCTTAGTGTGGTAGCACTGAGCTTTGCTTCTCAAGGTTCCAAGGATTTGAGAGAGCTGATGTGGTGGCTTTGCTTGACAATGGCCTTGACATCCCTAGGTCTTACTGCGATTCTCATTTTCATCTTACAAGCACCATGTCTCTACTGTGCTGCCTCAGCCTTTATTACGGCCATGCTCCTAGCACTTGTGGAGACCAAGCGTGCGCGCGACGAGGCAAAGGAACGAAATGAAGTAAGGAACGACCCGTCGCTCCTCGCAGCTGAAGAAGGTGAACATGCAGCTCCTGTGGACTCAACGCCTGAGACACCTGTGATGGAGACATCAGAGACCCATGAGCCAGAACCACGACGAGTGGTCTTGGGCTTGTCAGGGGTGCTTGCATTGGGTTCCTTACGTGCGGGTACCTTACCCAGCAGGGAGTTTGCCAGTGCATGGGCATACTTCAATCTTGTAGAGCAGTACAAGCCAAACCATCCCCCGGTGCGCAGCCCTTCTTCTAAGGCTTGGAGAGTCATTTATCTTGACTATTACTAAAAAGATCTATTCCCGGATCGATGCTTCGTCTTACTTTTCTTCCTGAGCCGTTTTCCTTAAAGACTTGGACTTGTGAAGGCAGAGTTAGCGCTGGCCAGATATCTCCAGAAGATTGGAGCTGCTTGCTACACAGCTTGGTGGTGTCCACATTGTCAGGAGCAGCGAGAGTCCTTCGGCAAAGAGGCTGTGGAGGTGGGGCTTTTAACAGTTAGGGCTTGACTTGAAGAGCGTTGCGCAAACGAATAATAGGTTTGCTTCAACAACTTCAACAATCGCGTCACACCCTAATCCAAACAGCTGGTTCGGTGGTTAGCGAGTCTTTTTGCCAAAGTATTACTTTTTCTTTTCAGGTGGCGCCTTTTGTGGAGTGCTCCTCGATCAACCGAAGGCAGCTGCAGGTTTGCCGGGATCAAGACATCGAGAACTATCCGACCTGGATAATCAACGGGGAGAAGTGTCTTGCCTTTTTATCATCCGAGTCAAGAAATTGCTAGGAGCAAGGATGCTACTAGGGGCTCCTGGCCTTACTGCTAGGAACAAGAAGCTGCTAGGAGCAAAGGGCATCGCTACTAGGAGCAAGGACGCTACTAGCATGTTGTGTTTTTTTTCGACAAACGTTTGTTTTCTTCGACTCAACTGCTCGTCCTTTTACCCAACGGAGTTCGCCTTTGTTGCTTCCAAAACGTAGTTGTCTCCGCTCAGTTCGCTCCCATTCCTTTCAACCCGCTCAGTTCTTCGAAAAACAAGGTTTTTGGGTGGTCGCGACCTCTCTGAGCTGGTGGAGATGAGTGGCTTCAAGGAATATCCTCCTGAAGCCTTCAAACCTCGAGAACCTTCAGAGGTCGAATACATTTGGGGACCACCTCCAGAAGAGGATGCTTAGATAAAAAGGATGACCGATTCAATCAACTCTTTGGATTTGCAGTCCATGTTTGGTTCCTTTGCAGCTTAGAGCATTGAAGGCACTCCGCATCAACTCGTTTACATGAATAATCATGCATCATTCAAATCAGTGAGGACCTTGAGCTCTTTGCATCTCGATTTCTTTCAGCTTCAAACGGCTGAGACAAATCCACAGCTGCTACGTGGCTACTCAAGAACAGTCAGAACTGTGTCAAAGCTTGTAATGATAGTGCAACGCTTTGCTTAAAACAACTTGCAACAGTCTGCGGCTACATTCTTCTGGCTCGGCAATCCCTACCTTTTTTCAGCAAACCCAAACTCACTCATCAGCAGACTTTACTTGCATTGATGATTCACCATGCGGTGACTGGAACATCTTCAAGGCAGACGGCTTGAGCTTCGTTGACGATTGAACCACAACAGCTGTTGTACCTGGCACCCCAAGATTTGTCGTATTTGTTTGAGCATCATACATGCTTTGCGGGGGGAAATAGTATAGCCTTTGCTTCCGATCATGGTACGCACGCTTGCAGGTGGCACGAGCCTGGATGATGCCTAAAACCCCTGAACTTTGATGTGTAAGACGTGAACTACAAATTTGCACAGTGCAGGTGTCCCTATCAAAGTAAGTGCCATAGTTGACATTGTAGGCACTTGTGTGGCCTTGGTGAGGTACTAAAGTACGCCACAGTTCTTGTGCTGATCTAGTCCAAAAGGGTGTTGCGAAAGCTCAAGTACGCCCTCGGAATCCACAAACAAGGAAGAGACAAGTGCAGACACACGGATATACCGCCGATAAACCTTGAATGACCGGAGATGGTGTTGTGGGGAATTTAATTCGTTTCTTTTCCGCACAAATCACCTTTGATATATAGGTTTTGCATGCCTGATGGAGGTCTGTGGTACCTGCCCATGCAGTGCCTCATGTGGCAGATCGCTGCAACTTGGTACAAGTGAAGGAGGGCCAAGGTGGCAACTGGTGTTGTCAACTTGTTTTGTACCTGAGAAGCTACTGTAGTAACAAGGACATTGCTACTAGTAACAGGGGCATTACTAATAGCAAGAAGCTACTAGTAGCAGCTGCTTGTTACGAGTAATGCCAGCCCCTAGTAGCGTCCTTGCTCCTAGTGGCGATGCCAGGAGCCCCTAGTAGCATCCTTGTTACTAGTAGTAATGCCAGGAGCTACGAACGTAGCTTCTTGTTACTTCAGCCGAGACCAGGCCAGGCCAAGCTGGGCCCTGTGAAGCCGCGGCGCTTGGTGTGCGCAGGTGGCAACTTGGGACGTATGCGACACATGCGACAGAGGTGCCAAGTCTTCGTTTTCTGTGAAGGTGCAGTGCTTGCTCCTGGGTTTGCCAGAGCCCGGTGCTTGGTTGCTTGCAACTTCTTAAAGAACATGTGATCAACAAGTGAAGAATAGGCTGATCCGAAAGTCTGGGATCCTATGTTCCACAACAACTTGGGACTCATGCGGTTGGAGTACTGAGTACTTGCTGTTCATGGACCTTTTGTAGGTACAAAAAGACTTGTCCTTGTATAGATCACAGAAAGTTCAAAGAACGGGGCCTATATAGTTGCGTTTTTTCTGGCATTCCCTGCAAATAAGGCCCATGTACGGCGGCGGAAGATCCTTGCAGCTGCAGGTTGGTGTGTCCACCATGGTTTTGGGCATTTGATCGCGTGCATGCATCCACATCCTATGCAACATGCGTTCGTATGCGCAGGTATTGTGGAGGTGTTTGTAGCAAAGACATGATACGCGTGATTCCATATGTCTGTGAAATCTTGTCAAATCGACAGATCTTGGGAACACCTAGGCCAGACCTTTCACTTTTTGAAGCAGTTCGATCAGCTGAAGTCAGTATCAGGTGAAGTGAATGGCCAAAGAAGTGGCCTAGCAAAGTTCCGGGAGATGCAGATCATGCAGGGCAATGCTCCGTGGCTCAATCTTGTTCTGTGAAAGTCCTTGGTGCGATATACATCAAAAAGATGTTGATTGCTTTGGACTCAAACCCACACACGTACTTGGCCTGATGGTCGGCAGACCAAGGACTTGAAAGTGAGCCTTGCCTGCAAAGAGTATGGCGTTGGTGCATCCTGCACTCAACCTTGCCATGGTTCTGCTTTGAGCCTCTCCTGTTGCCTCAGAGAAATCAAGTACTTCTGAGGCCAGTGATCATTTTCCCAGCCGAAGATTTGCTACTGCCGGGTCGGACGAAGCGAATGCACCTGTTTGAGCCGCGCAGCTTGGCTGAAGTTCCCGAATATTCGTGTCATGGACGACAACATCACAAGTTTTTGGTTTGTTTTGGTTAATTCCTTGTTCTTTCTCAAACCTTTTTTCCTTTCTTTCTTTTTATTCCGTGTCTTGGATTTGAGAAAGTAAAGATGTACCCATGGGGTGTACCATGAGTGATGAGAGCTTTCTGGGAACTGTATTGAATCCATGAATCTCTCCTCTTTTGAGTGTATAGCATTCTTGTTGTCCTTGCAGAATCAAGGTTGGGTGTCCTTGGTGGATTTCTCCTTGAACGACTGTGGCGGAATTTTCGGCATGCTCTACTTCGAGGTCGTGCATGGCAAGAAGTTCATAGTGACACTATAGGGTAGTCCCCCAAATTGACAAAAGGATGTCTATCACGTCTAGAGAAGATTTGCTTGGCTCAATTTGGGTCACCGATACTGTACTTCTGCAACTTGACAAAGATCCTAGTGCCAGGAGTCAGATTTACTCCCGGTCACTCGGCACTGGTTTATTTTTCAAGCGGCTGAAGTGCTGAGTGAAAGTGCAAAACGATTAGCTACTAGTAGCTTCTTGCTCCTAGTAGCGATGTCCTTTGTTACTTGTAGCTTCTGGTTAGTAGTAGTAAGGCCAGGAGCTACCTAGTACCGTCCTCTAGCTCCTAGTAGAGTACTTTCGAGCGAGCCTGACCGAGTCGTTTCAGGTCATTTCCCTGGTGGAGATTCTGACCTGCAACAACCTCGAGAGCCAGGGCCGTGTAGTCCACACCTCACTCATTGACTCATTACTCCTGGCATCGCTACTAGTAACAAGAAGCTACTAGTAACAAAGGGCATCGCTACGAACAGAGCCAGAAGCTACTTGGCCGAACGACTCGGTTTCGAGGTCGAAGTCCGAGCGGTCTCCCGGGCTCAGCTGAAAGGCTTGACGGAACAGGTCGCTGTCCCCGGAAGAAACGAAGACTTTCTGTTTCGGCCTCGTGCTTTATCTTGTGCTATGTTGGAACTCTTGTGCGATGTTGCGAGCTTCAACCCTCTCTGCCTCAAAGCCTTAATACTGCTTTGAAGCTTCATCCGTTTTTTCGACAAAGGTCGCCGAAACTTGGCCAGGTGGCAATGAGAGAGGATTGGGGCTTGGCGCTGGTGGAGGCTCTCACGACCTGACTTCAACAGACACGAGAAGCCACACAAATATTTGCATAAATCACATGAGAACGATTTCGAATGATTTCTCCATCAGAATCGCTGGGTGTTCTGAGATTGTCAGGAGATCCCAGAGGTCTTTCAAGAAGATCTCACTGTTGCGTCAACTCTTGCCGGAGAACTTTCCAGTCTTTGTGCCGGGGTTACCAAGTGTCAGTGTCGTGTTGGAGGGAGCATTTGCTGAAGCGGGGAAAATCCACTTGGTAGCAGGAACAGTTTGTGCTTCACATTCGTCCTTGCAAGTTGTTGGAAGACTTTCAAAGACTTTCTGTCAAGGAAAATTTGGACGTGTCTATCAAGCCCAAGGACTGGTCTTGAAACAATTGCTTTGATCAACCGCGGAGTTCATGTTTGCGCCTGATTGGAGGAGAATTCGGCCGAAGCGACTTCAGAGCCGGAAAAGGCCCACTCAAACGTATTTTTGGCCTCAAACTGGCGACGTCACATGAGCAACGGCCAAAACGAGCAATGACCAATCTAGTAAAGAGCGGTCGTGAATCCTAGGAAGTGGGATAGATCCCCCGCTCAAAAGCGATAACCTTGCTAAATCATGTCCTTTGCTTGACAGTACGGTTTGGCAGACGCTCGCATGAGTGTTTGGTCCAGCTTTTGGACAGGTGAGACCGGAGGCTCAGTTGTGGACCCACCAGCGTGAGCGGGGGAGTCTCGCGGAGCTCTCCAAGAAGTGGCAAGAGCTTTTGTCGAACCTGCAGCAACAGCTCCAAGGAGCCTTTGTGGGGTGAAAGATTCTCCTTTGTGGCACCCAGGGTTTCAGTGGGCCAATCATGTACGGAAATCTCTTTAAAGGGACCTTTAAGCCCTTACAGAAATCTTTTACAGATCGTTTGCAGGGACCTTTTTCTTTCTGATGCCTATTTAGCCCTTGACAACATTTGTGCTCCTGGACCCGGAGGAGTTCCAGTTTGCACAGCACTTCCGCTACCCACCACAGATGTTGCGAAGGCGTGGTAATCGAGCACGGCTGGCACTGGACATCGACATGTGAGCTGAAAGGAGCTAACTAACCTGGAGCCTACAAAGGATTATCAGAAATCGCTATTAGGTTGGAGGCCATCGCCTCTAGGTTTGGAGGCCATTGCTATTGGGGAGTCTACAAAGGATGATCAGAAATTAAGAAAAGCAACGTCGCCTGCAAAAAAAGTCGCCTGCATCGTCCAAGGCCAACCTCCAAGAGGCCAAAGATTCATTGGCCGTGCTTTACGCTTCACTAAGTCAGGCATCTTTTGCTTTGCGCCTGGGATGAAACCGAGTGAAGCCAAAGTAGCTCGCATCATGCAGATCATGCTGTGCATGTGCACATGCACGTCATGATGCCATATGATGTCTTGTTATTCTTCTTCAAGGGTTTGTCAGGAAGAGGAACGAACTGTTTGAACCTGGTGGGGACCTGGTCCAAGGCGTCGAGAGATGTTTGTAAGCTCAGCAAGCTTGGAGAAGCGCTTGAAGGCGGGGCTGATTGTGTTGACCTGTCGATTTTCTCGTTGACATTGACTGGTCGGACTGAGACGTTCTGCAGTTGTAGATGAGGTTGTGACTGAGAAGATCTCGGAACTTCAAGGAATGGCACGCGCACGCCGGGCTCTTGCTGGGGTGGGCGCCTCAAAACGACGTTCCACGTTAGGACCTACCTAGTGGTACGGCAGAGTGGCAAACACTCTGGAAGACCGCATTTGAAGGCAATTTTTGCCACAGGTCTTTAAGACAGAGGAGTGAGACCACAAGAACTCAGTGAGAGTTGCAAGGTCTCACTTGGAACTTGCTGTATATAGAAAGACCACAATTTTCCATGACCTCGAGATGGTGTGATGTCCTGCAGATGCAGTCCACCACAACACTTGGTTTGAAAACTCAAACAGGTTAAGAGTTCCAAGCTTTGTTGCTTGAGCACTGCTACACAGTCGGGTCGGGTTTCGGGTGGCGCCAACTTGGAGATCAACTCTTCGTGGGTGTGTCGGGTGAGCAGTGCATTTGCAGCTTTGTAGCGACCAAGACATGGACATTTAGCAGGTCTAACCTGCATCGAGCTGAAGAGAGCAGCCGAATAGATCCAAGTTTGAGGTCTTGGAGCTGAATTTCATCAAGTACCAAGACGGAGCAAACCAATGTGCAGGTTTCTTGAGAAACACAGAGAACATCAAAGGACATAATTGAAACACAGAGGTTTTTCAAATCAGATGGATCTTCAAGCAGTTCAAGCTCAGCCATGCATGGCATGACCCATCAAAGACTCAAGATCTGGTCTGGCCATGGATGAAGCGCGTTCGGGCCATGCAGAGGGAGTGCCTCAGGAACGCCCAGCCAAGCGACCGAGGCCGATTTGGTTCAACTGTTTCACTGCAGGAACAACCCAAGGGTTGGGATTTTGACGTTTTGCTTGATCACTTGCCATGCATAACTATGTACTTGTAGAGAACTACTTGCTGGTGGCCTCTTTGAAAGACAGGCTAGCTGACAGTGTCACTGCAGCCAGTGCTGGAAGCTGTGAATGGGCACAGGTGCGATGGTGCCACATGCTGCATCATGCTGCAAACTGTTTTGCGTGCTGGCTCTTTTGCTCCTCATGCAGGTCATTTCAGCAGTACAGCCCGCCATAGTGGCACTCAAGGCAGGGTGTATGACTTGTTTCGTCGCTTTGTGAGACGTCAGATCTTGGCCTGGAAAGGTGACTTTTGTGGTGAGCTTCGAAGATGAACAGGCTGCAGTGGCGCTGGGCACCGGATTTGTCGTTGACAAAGAGAGGGGTTTGATTTTGACCAATCGGCACATCACCGGGGTGGGTCCCGTGCGTGCTTTGGCGATCTTCGATCGCCATGAAGAATTGGAGGTGGAGGTCGAGCCCCTAGTAGCGATGCGGCGATGCCCTTGTTCCTGGTAGCGTCCTCTTGTTCCTAGCAGTAAGGCCAGGAGCCCCGTTCGTCGCGTCCTTAGGTCGTCTATCGCGATCCCATCCACGACTTTGGCTTCTTCAAGTACGACGTCACCAAGCTCCGCTTCACCGAGACCGCGGAGATCGCCCTGAACTGTGAGGACCTCTGTGTGGGCACGGAGATCCGCGTGGTGGGCAACGACGCCGGGGAGAAGTTGCAGATCCTGTCGGGGACCATCGCGCGCGTGGACCGCAACGTGCCGGAGTTCAACACCGTCTACAACGATGAAAATACCTTCTATGCCGGTGCTGGGGCTGGCACCAGTGGAGGATCCAGTGGATCTCCAGTGCTGAACAAATCGGGTCATGCCATTGCTTTAAATGCGGCAGGCACTGATGGTGCGGCCAGTGCATTCTTTTTGCCCTTGGATAGAGTCTGCTACACACTGAAGTCTTTGAGAGAAGGCTTGCCGGTGCAGCGGGGCACTTGCCAAGCTTCCTTCCTCTTCAAGGCCTTTGACGAGTTGATGAAAGTTGGTCTTCTGGAATCTCACGAACATCGTGTGAGGGACAAGAAGAAGGCCGCTACAGGTATGTTGCTTGTGGACGCAGTCCTTTGCGAGCAGAAGAAACTCCGACCTGGAGATATTCTTTTGAGCATAGAGGGACAGATTTGTATCGATTTCGTTTACCTCGAGAGCATTCTGGATTCCAAAGTTGGCTCCTCTGTCGAGGTCATTGTTTGTAGAGGCTTGGGTGAGTTTGATTTGAGGTAGCTAAAGTAGCTGCTCTGAGTGAAGGCTCTGCTTCCTGTCAAACGAACGATGTGAGGCGGTGAGGAACTTACGCTGGACGTGGAGGTCTTGGATCTTCATTCATTGATTCCAAGGACAGGATGCTAACCTTGAACCTCGAAACAGCTGATAGTCGATATATGCGTAACATGTGGACCGAGACACACCAATTCATTGGTGTCAGGAGCTACATTGAGCTTGGCTTGGATGTAGTGCACAGTCTCGGTTATCATGCGGCCCGGAAGACTCATTTACCCTTGGACAGCGGTGTGTACTTGGCCCGACCCGGCTATGTCTTCGAGTCCTTGGGCTGTGACTGGGGATCTCTCATCACCACAGCGCCTTGGTCGGCGTATGGGCGGAAGACGATGCTGGGCGATGGCGTCGCATGGCGAGCGTTCATGGTTCAGACACGTCGGTGCTGGGAGGTGCTGGTGATTTCTTGTCCTTTGGAACGCCTGAGGTGAATGGCAAGGCAACGCCTTCGCCGGAAGCCTTCGTGAAAGCTATTGAAGACATTCCGGACCGGCAGTACTTCACGGTGCATTGGTACGATTTGCGAGACTTCCGCCTTTCGGATGCATAGATGTGTTGAAACCAAACCAGGTCTCTTCCAAGATGGCGAACGGCTGTCTTCCGGGGAGCACCAGTCTAAAGTTCACTGTCTTCACACCGGTGTGCTCATAGACTGCCTTCCTGGCTCCAAGCATGCTCACTAGAATTAGGACGCTTGGCGTTCAAATCTTTGCTCACGCATTCACAAAGATACTATAAAGAATAAGCAAAAGCAATAAACAAATAGAATATAGTTAACTTCATCCACTGCAAAGTTGTTTACAAGTTTGGTCACCTGTTTATGTAGTTTTTTTTGTTGCTTGGTGGTACGATTAAACCGCGAAGAGACATGACCGTCTCCACGGTGTCACCCACTTTGTACAAAAGCCTGGTACACCATTTCCTTGTTTTCCGAAGTGCAAACGAACGCGGCCAAAGCTGAAAGCGATCACCACATCCATTATACAAGAACCTGGTGAAGCCATGCATCTAGTTCCTTGAAATGGTTCCATTCATTTGTGTTGATCTTGGCTTGATTCATCCACTTGTTTCATGGAGAGCATGCGTGCAATAACGTCCACGCCTCTTCTCCTTTTGGTCGTTCCACAGTGATGTGTCCCAGTCATTCCCCATGTGTCCCTGTGTCAGAACA